TCTGAAAGGTGATGATGACCACAGTCTTTTCTCCAGCATCTATGGTGTAGTTGCAGTTGGCTCTGGATGGGTAGTTTGCTGGATAATTTGGTGAAACCACACGGCCGCTGTCAGCTGTAAAGTTTGCACCGCATCCTAATGAAAAGAGCACAACAGACTTTCTTTGCATGCTGATAGAATGAACCATGTCACTGCAAAAAAGATCTGCCGACCAACAAGTTAAAAAAGTAAATTTTAAAAACTGAAAAAAATAGCTTTTTATCCCTAATATGACATATTGGGGGAAAGAGTGGCCTCCAGAAGACGTTTTTAAAGGACGACAACCCTGGCTAAAGCAGACCAACCAGTCTGAGAGATTGGGGTAAAAGATGACCAGGTACCCGATAGTAACTGTAAGTGTCTCTGAGCTTCTGCTTTTCTTGTGGAGAGAGAAGAACCTTCCAAAAAGACCATTTCTGCAGCACTCCCCCAATCAGGCCTTTATGGCAGAGTGGCAAGGTGGAAGCCACTTCTCAGTAAAAGGCACATGAAGGACTCTCAGACCATGAGAAGCTCCCTGGGGCAATGAAACAAAGACTCAAGTGTTTGGCCTGAATGTCAAACATCATGTCTGAAGGTAACCAAGAACGCCGCATCATCTGGCCAAAACCATCCCTACAGTGACGAATGGTGGTGGCAGAGTCATACCATGGGATGTTTTTCAGAAGCAAGAAAGATGAATGAAACAAAGTACAAAGACATCGTTGGTGAATGGTGTGGTAAGCCCCTAGCATCATAGTCAAAAAGAACTTGAAGCGGTAAATAAAGGGAAAGAAGCTTTAGCAAAGTATTTTGCAAAGGCTGTGAACATGTACATGTTATATTTTTGTTTTGTTGTTGTTGTTGTTTTTTTTGTTATTAGATGGACAATTTTGAAGTGAAAAAATTAATTTATTTTGGAATAAGGCTATAACATGACACAATTGTTCCTCTTTGTCTTATGTTCAAGAAGCTGTGAATGTAACACTGAGTAAAATACAAAACCTGTTTACAGTCTGCAAAACTGTAGAATCTGAGTATGAGAATCAAGTTTCTCAAATGTTCATGCAACTCCTACCACTTTCTTGTAAGACAACAATGAATGGCAGCTACTTGTCAGAGGAACAGACCTTGAAGAAATTACAGGGAGAATGAATGCAACCCAATAGAGCAAAATACTTTTACTTTGGAAAGTACTCTGAGACTGTGGCTTCAGGACAAGTCTCTGACTTCTTCTGACCAACGAAATCCCACAAAGTATGTGCATAGAGTGCAAAACATAATAACAAACATAAAACAATAGATGTGTGTAAAGCTTCTTGAGCAGTCATCCCCAAAGTTGGGTCACTGTTCTAAAGGCTTAACTGAGAATCTGCAACGGCTTCCAAAATGGGCAAACATGGAATTACTGGGTCTTCCCATGGAAGTTTCCAGAGATAAAATGGCATTTACATAGCAATAGTAACATTTCTCTACCTTCATATTAGAAAAGATTAATTCTAAACTTATTTAGAAGAGGAAAATTCACCAAAGTGTGTGATATAATAGCCATTACAGCAAAGCTTTAACATGAAATTGTACTGGCCGTCTGGTTCTTACTGGTGTTGAAGGAGGCTGAGAAACCTTTGCCAGGGGCTCCAGTGGACTGGAATCGGCTCGTGATGATGTTATTTGGAGCAACTATGGACCCTGGAGCCACAGAGCCACAGCCTGTAGACAGCAGAGCCTCACTAATTTGACGGTGACCTGACCACACCTGCAGAAACATGCACAGTTTTAATCAGGTCCTGTTATGATACCATTCTGCAGCCACTTTTATTTGAAAACAAAAAGGTTATTGGGAAAAAAAATCAAAGCGAATGTTCTAATTTCTGCAGTCAAAGGTCAGAAAGCAAATATACTTGATTAAAAAAGAAGGAGAAAGAAGCTAAAAAATGTTTTGTTTTTTAAAACATACTACTAATTTGCTGCAGGATGACTTACAAAATAATGTTGGGTCTACACATAACTGCAGATATAGCCTAGATAGCCTATTTTCATTAAATGACTGTATCCATGCATTTTCTTTGCAACCGGTTAAACAAGAATAATGCATTCAGTAATTTATCCTTTGGCCACTAGAATACTCAAAGTCACAGAGATTTGATGATTTTAACCTTCTTTTTGTAATTCAACTAATTCATAGTAATGTTGTCTAATGATTTGAAATATGTAAGTATGACACATAAGCCAGAAAATTAATGAAAATGAATAGGCATCGTAGTTAGCTCTGTTAGCTCAAAGTAAGATGATCTGAGTTTGCCTCGACCACCTGGGCAGGGCCTTTCTGTGTGGAGTTTGCATGTTATCCCCACGTCTGTGTGGGACCTCTCCAGGCAGTCTGGATGCCTCTTTCAGGCCAAAGACATTCAGTTAGTGGGGTTAGATTAATTGGTGATTCTAAATTGCCCATCGGTGTGAATATGAGTATGAATGCTGTCATTCTTTTTGTGTTAGCCCTGCATCAGACTGACACTCTCAGGGTGTTCCCTGCCTCCCACCCTATGGTAGCTGGGATAGCCACCAGTCTCCCTGTGACCCTGATAAGTGGAAAAAGATAAAGGGATAAAAATGAAAACAAGAAATCTCAAATTTCTAGTCCCGCTGCTTCTATTCGGTCTTCTTTTCCCTGCAATAAACGACCGCTGCTGGTGGGGCTCAGAGAGCTCTCTCTGCATGCAACTGCAGGTCAAATGAAAACAAGCTAAAGTATTGCATATTTCCAGATACAAAGTGTAAAAGAATAAACGGAGACAAAACAGATTATGTCTTCTGGATATTAAGATTTTGTTATTTATTGTATAGTTTTCATTTATTGAGGTTTTCTTATTAATTTTGCACTGATGATAGTAGAATAAGAGACAAAACTAAAGGAACAGTTAAGTAATAATAATAATTTAAACAAAAAAACTAAAACAAAACAAACAAAAACACAACCTGCCCCCCTTCCAAACTCTCACTGTAGCGCTGCTGACTTTTGATGCCCTTCTTGACACAACCCATAAGGGACTTGTGTCTGACATGGAAGTAATAATAATAATGCATATAATAATAATATTTTTATTAATATTATTACCTATACGAAGGACACATTACTCAGTGGCACCACAGTGTCCTAGTTTACATATTTGCCTAATACATGAAAGACACAAATCCCTTTTAG